GCAGCCTACCAGTGGTTTAATTGAGTGAAACTCATTCACTGTCTGAAAACGAACAAAGAACATTAATAAATATTGCAAATTAAAAGCTAATCAGGAACAATATATTGTTTTAGAAGGCTTCAACCTTGAAATGTGTTATTGTTTAACAAAAGTCACTTCATTTATGGAAAAAAAAGAAAAGAAAAACAGAAATTTCCAAGGTGACCACTGTGTCCTTTATTTAGGTAATGCAGTTCATCCTCAGTGTGACCTTGGCACAAACAAAGAAAGATCATTTGCGAGCCGAGGCCAAGTGTTACCACCCAGTTGGCACCGGCTGTTTGGCACTCCATCCAAAGAAGTCAAATAGAGTGAATGTGTGGCATAAACAAGCCTGTGGGTGGAAACATAAACATGAAAGACAGACTTTTTTTTTTTTTTTTAGCCTTCGCTGATCATAAACACCTTATGTTCCACCGTCCCGACTGCTAAAGCCACAGCAACAGCGCCGTGACCCACCTTCCACAAGTTTCCCTCCTACACCCCAACCAGTCAGCCCACATCGCTGCCTTCCTCTTTCCCTCTCTGGTCCCTGCGTCCTCGCCCCACCCTCTTTTTCTTTAGACTTTTCCGCTCCTTCATTCTTTTCTGGCCTGTGTCCCAAGGCAGATGGTCCATGCAAGCAGATGCTCCCCACCCAGCTCGTGCGGAGGAAAAACAAAGCCTGGATGCAAAGCAAACAAAATCTGCTGGAGGGTGCCCAGGAGACGAGCAGCGACGTCCACAGCGCAATTAATCCTGGGTGTGACCATGGACCGTCTTTTTATCGACCAGTTGAGACAAAACACAGGTGGTCAAAAAAGGAAAGAAAAAAAAAAATCGGCCAACAGCAAAGTCTACCTTCTTGATGATGGGGAGAACACTTAACTCCACACCAGTTGGTGCACCATTAGGACGATCTACTGCGCCAGAACTGACTGCTTAATAAGTCAAACTGTCCAATTGTGAATCTATTTACAGAGTGGAGATAAAACTAGGCAAACAGATCCAAAATGTGGATGATCCTCACTTCCAAATGCAAACGGATTCATCCTTCTGAAGAGGTACAAAAGTAAAGCGAGTTAAATCCCCCAATTATTGCTGCAATTTTCATGATTTAAAAAGCAAAAAAACATCACAACTTGCATCTCATAATGTGACTTCAAGCAGCTGCCACTTCCTAAAAATATCAGGTCTTAAAAACAATACGTGGTCCAATTCTAAGTTTCATCACTTCGCCTTTAAATAGGTGCATTAGCATAATCGTCACTTCGTTCTTTGAAATCACCAGGTGCAATATAATTAGGTCTAATAACAAATCAAACGGTGCTTCTTTTGCAGAAACAAAGACAGAAGAAGAACTTCCTTATGTGATCCTGTACGGCAGACTGTCAAAGCTCTCCTCTGAAAAGCTGAATCACACCGCTCTGCCATCTGACAGATTTGGAGCAGTCTCTCTTCTAACTGTACCTTTGCTTCTCAAGACCCGACTGACTGACTGACAGATGCTGAGAAAACACACAAACACACACACACACACACACACACACACACACGGCATGTGGTCAGTTCCATATGCGCTCAAAGCTGTTGTCTAAGAACAATGTACACAACAGATCCTCTCTTTGTGCCAAACAGCATCATCATCATCACACATAAATAACTCTCTGAAGTAAGTAGCTTTACATTTGAAGCTTATTTAAAGACCTCCCCTGGCAGTGATCGGTGATGACTTCTTTTTCTTTACATTGTACAGTGACTTCAGTGAAAACCTGGCGTCTACACGCTGAGATCTTGAATATGTGATAACATCCTGCAAATGGGTTATTGCACTGGGTTGCATCAAAACCTAACCCCAAGCACAACTCATTGGCTCCAACATTAAAATCCTGACTCAGTGCTAATGTCCTACATATTGATTACTTCAGAGAAGCCTGTTTCTCGGTCTAGTTTATGAAGGAAAGCAGATATGAATTGCGAATGGCCATCCTAATTCTCAACCTTATGCTCGCAGTCGTCCCAGGTGACCAACACTGCTTTGGTTGTCTGCGGACTGACAGCAGTCTGCAAATTTAGGAGTTCATAAACTAGTTTTCTCGGAAAATATTACGTACGTAGCAGAGTAAGCACGAGCCCAAGTAATTAAAAGCAAGCAAATGAAGCATTGACTCAGCTACGAGCCTAATGGTAACATTTTTACTGTTAATGTTTTACTACTTAATGTTGTTTGGCATTGCCCAAGGCCCGGTATGAGGCATAATTAGATATAATTCATACTAACGCAAAAGAAATGAGGCCATTCATCACCAAAAAGCCCACAACGGACAACTTTCCTCAACTGTGTGAGTGCAAAAAGACGGAGCTAGCCGTGGTGCTGAAAGTACCTCAATCGGAACAATAAACCTTACGGGGGTGCGTTTCATATATCGCCTTTCTGAAACTCAGGGATTCTGTACAAAAGGAGAGAAATGTCTGGGGGAGCCGCAGGCAGGCACCGACAGACGTTGTAATGGTGATCTGAGAGAGCTCCAAGGCACTGATGCAAAGAATCACTGCAACAAGGAGGCAGCTCTTGGGAGGATCAACTCATGGCTGGGTGGCTTTAGCATTTTTATGGGTGATTGTTACATTTTAAGATTTCCCCCGGGAACGGAGCGTGATGTGGTAGTCAGATGGGGGGGAATAACAGTGGGGGCTTTAGAGAGAGAGCAAGAGAGAGAAAGTGGTAAAGAGTTGAGGAAAAATAAGCACCAGGGGGTAGACTGTGGTTTCCTCTCTACAGAAATCAGTGGTTACTGAGCGATGCAAGCTACTAACACAGGCCTGGAAGTCCCAGGTCCTCTAGACTGACCCTCTATAGTTTTATTGAAAGTTAAGCAACCTGAATAATGAGAAATGTAGTCAGAAGCAGCAATTACAGCAAATGAGAGGGGCTGTGAGTCACTTGCTGCCTCGGGCAAACTACAGCAATCCCACAATTTTCAGCTACAAATCAAAGTAAACATGTTTTAAATTAAGATACCTACGAGTTAAGCCACAACATCCTAGAACGAAGAAATGAAAGATAACTCTCCGGTGCCTTGACTCTCACCAACACGATGCTCACTGTGCCCACGTCCATGTCCCGGATCATTCATGCATATCTAAGAGTCTGCATGTCCTAATTAGTCTGCATGAACAGCTACTTTAGCAGTTGCATACTGATTTTTTTTCTTCACGCACTTCCTGGTATGGGAGATCCCCGAACCGCAATATAAAACGCTCAGCTCAAATCTGTTTAAAATCCTCAAGGTATGACTCGTTTCTTTAACAAACGGATAATGAGAAGTCAATTAGGTGTGCAAACAAACATTAACCTGAGCCAGGAATGATGAGCAGTTAACTGCTCTTCTGGCTCTCTGAGAGGCAGTGAGGAGCCTGAGGGGAAACCTATGGACTATAACTGAGTGATCATTATTCTGGATGCCGGCCAAGCGCTGTGGAGGAGGGAGCCGAGGAACTGAATATATTATGGTCTCTTTTTTCTTAGCAGATGCCCCTGTGTCTATACATTCAAATCCCATTATCACAAGGAGGTTCAAAAGTTTTGCACACTGTCGACTACAGTGGGAGACGAACATGAAAAGAACTACCTTTATAGGCCTTTTTAACTACAGACATTTTGAATTTATAGCAGGAAAGGCACAGGTGTGTTCTAATTAGGACAGGTGCTGCTATTGTGCACTTATTGGAACTGAACGCTCATCAGTGTTATTAATTCCACCTGTGATAACTCACAACCTGCTGGCAAAATCATTACACAGAAATGGCAATAAAGAAAATATATTACTGCTAAGTTGAAAAGAGTAACCGATTTATTTCTTACAAGAGAAGGCAAAAGTCCAGACATGACTCTTGAGTTACTTACAATGCAAAAGAAAAAAGAATAAAAACATGCAAACTAAACCTCAGCATGAGAAGAAAAATTAGCTTAACTCACTACCCGCTGGTAAAATTATTGCACAGAAATGTAATGAAGAAAATATATTACCGCTAAGTTAGATTTTGACAAATACGACCAATATTTTTTTTCTTTCAAGAGAAGGCAAAAGTCCAGACATGACTCTAAAGTTAACTCAAAATGAAAAAAAAAAAAAAAAAAGGAAAGAAAACCATAAAAACATGCAAGCTAAACTTTAGCATGAGAAGAACAGCTAGCTAATTAGCATAACTCACATCCTGCTGGTAAAACTACAAAAATGGCAACACAGAAAACATATTACTGCTAAGTTGGATTTTGACAAATATGATCAATATTTTTTTCTTTCAAGAGAAAACAAAAGTCCAGACATGACTCTAAAGTTAACTCAAAATGCAAAATATATATCTATAAAAACATGCAAGTAAACTATAGCATGAGAAGAAAAAGTAGCTAATTAGCACAAGTCACAACCAGCTGGTACAATTACACAGAAATAATAAATAAAACATTTTATTGTTTTTTTTTTTTGACAGTATTTTTTCTTTCTTTCAAGAAAAGTCAAAAGTTCCTTCAAAATGCAAAAGAAAAAAAATAAAAACATGCAAGCTAATTAGCTTAAAACTTTAAAATGTCAATTTAATATTGCCTTTTTTTTAAATAATAAAGATGACATATAAATAAAATTACTTACACAAAAATACTACTTTTTTTTTTAACCGCATTGAATTGCTTGCTTTCGCCATTAATTGTCTTTTCTGGTTGTGTCATTAATAAACTTTAGCTTTAAAGTTGTGTTTTTTCTCAAAACAACGACTTGTTTTTTGCATTTCACACAAGCCGAATTAAATAGTAGGTCTGCAATGACACAAAACTGAAGTTTTGCTGTAACAGGTTGACAGTTTCGCAAGGCAATATTAAATTGGGGCAAAATTGCGCAGGAGTTTTGCATAACGTCCGCTCCATGCGAACCCCCCCATAAATCAGCACATTATCGCGCCCCAGCACGCCACCACTGTCCTACCAGATGAAGAAACAGCGGCGTCCACTCGGGCAGAGATGGTCTCCACTCTCTTTGCATCCATCGTTATATCCGCAGGTGGACTTTTTTTTGTCTTATTTTTTTTAAAGTGGAAAGGAGCTTCGTCTTCTGCTGCTACTACTTGCTGCTCATCCAACTCCCAAGTTTCGCGGCGTGTGCGAGAGACTGGCAGCGCTGGAAGGCTGCTCGTTCCCGCTGCTCTTTGGGCGGGAGCGCGCATAGGTGGGTGGTAAGTGGTGGTATGTAAGAGAGCTCTGTGGATGTAGATTAGGGTAAACAAAATGCCTTTGCTGGGTTCAAAATGCACCAAAATGTGATGCTTGTTCTTTTGTTTTATTGCAAACTGCATCAAGCAATCAATCAGAGTTTATTTGGATGGCATTCTCACACAAGTGAAGCGCTTTACAGGAAAAAAAATAAAACAGAAACAACCCCAGAGAAACAACAGGGAATGAGGGAACACTGTCATAAATAAATGCAATGAAGAAACACCACTGCACAATAATAAAAAAAAGAAAGTGATCATAAACAGATGATTCAGTCTGCTGCTAACTGGTTTGAATTAGCCACCAGAAAAAGGGCAGAGAACAGCGGACAGTCAGAGGAAACCTCCTGGGGCCGACCTGCCTCCTATTCAGGATGTAGACATCCGGAGCGAGGAAACATGCATGTAACATCACCGCAGATCCATCACACCGTGGTGCAGACATAACCGCCTCCAATTCCTCCCCTCTGGCATGCGCTGAATGCCAAAACAAGACACAAGAACAGTTTATTCCCACAGGCCATCGCTCTGATTAATATTTAAATCAGCGTGGAAACAACTCGCACTGAATCCCAGCCCTGTATATACTGTACATCGCACGCCTGTTTATATTTCATCCCAGAAACGCTGCTCTCGGTTCCATGGCGTCCACCTACCTCATGGAAAGAAGGTGTTTTGCAGCTGTTGTCTATAGTTCTACATAGCAATTAAACACTCATTTTCTTTCTAGAATGTCTTCATTTTGTTGTATTTTGAGCAAGTACGTTGAGAGAGTAAAGTTTCTGTATGTGTTCACATACTTGGCCAATAAAGCTGATTCTGATTCTCACATAGATAAATAAATTAAATTGACTGAATTTAAAATAATACAAAATTAGGTACATCTTTAGCTTTTACAAAAGAGATGTGGACCATAATACCAAAAGACTGACACACTCTGACTTTAACTATAATCAAAGGGCCAATACCAGAAGATCTAAGGACTCCAGAAGGTTCACAGGATAAAAGCAAACCTGATAAACAGATAGGATGAAGCCATTAAGAGCTTCACAAACCAATAAACTGATCTTAAAATCAACTCTAAAACATACAGCCAATGCTTTAAAATCAGTATAATGTGTCCTTGTGCTCCTAGTCAATATACATGCGGCTGAGTTTTGAAGCAGCTAAAGTGGAAATATATATTCTTCTTGAGGAGACCAGATAGCAGACCATTACAATCATGCAAGTTATAAGCTGTCCGTGTTCTTCCAGTGATAAAATGCATCGTCAGTTATGTTGCTGATGTGACGCTCAACACTGAAAACCAACACATGGGTTTCATGCCAATGCTTACAGTTTCACATTGAGTTTCTCCCCGAGGTTAAGTGACTGAGACTTTAGTTTTGTCCTGATTGTGCCATAAATTCTCTGCCATCTATAATTTGGTATCTAAAATAAAGTTTAAAGGGGCATCAATGGGCCCTGAATCATCAGGAGAAACAGTAATATAAAGCTGGGTGTCATCAGCATATCTGGAGATTCTGGAAAGTCGATCAATCCGTCTAAATATGTAGGAGCTGAGTCAACGCTCAAAGCCACTGAGAAGCTACACCTGGAGGATCTTTATGATGCTCTGTGCCATTCAACCCTTGATAAATGTATTTCCCTTCATCATTCCTCCAGATAATTTAGCTCAAACGTGGTTCATATTACACCACAAACAAGCAATCACAGAAGCTGCAACTCTTGTAGGAACCTGCCACCTTAGACGTCAAAGAACTGTTTACCTCTGTGGGTGAAACACTTAACCAGACAAAGATTGGATCCTGCTTCTGCAGCTGAGCGCTAATTGGCTCCTACGCAATAATTACAATAACATTACCGGATTGAAAAATAAACATTCATTGTGTATCAGCTCAGATCCAATCAGTGTCTCCGTGTTTTATCGCTTCCTCATACATATGTAAAAGGCACTAACTGTTGATTTTAATTATAGACACGTTAAATCTACCACATACAGTGCTGTCTTTATACTAAGTTTATTATTACAATAATAATAATAATAACTTTGTTTGTATAGCACTTTATAAAAAACGAGTTTACAAAGTGCTTTGACAGGAAAGGCAAAAGCAGAATACCTTGAAGGCAAAATAACAGCAAAAGGTCAGACAGTTGGGCAAAAACAAGACAAAACTAAGATAACGTGAAACAAGACAAAAAGAATGTCCGTACAAATAAGTACAAATAGAATAATTAAAGCAATAAAAAAGTGAGAAAAAGATGACATCACATCAGAAGAATGCTATAAAAACGACAATTTGATTGTTTTAAAGGTGACGATCTCTAATCATAAAAGGATGTCTGCCTTTAGATTTAAGCCTCGACACCCGAGGATCCAAGGCTGCAAGCTGGTTCATATGGCATCAACATTTCTGCTTTATAGCCCAAGGAAAGATGCAGACAAGCTTTAAACGTGATGGTTAAAACCTTGAAATCACTTCCAAGACGAACTGAGAGCCAATGGAGTGAAGGCAGGATTAGGGTGATGTGATGGTGAAATCTAGATGCTGCATTCTGAAGATGTGAAAGAGTAACTGGACTAGTGGCAGAAAAAAGGAAGTTGTGGTCGTCAAGCCTCTAGAAAATAAGTGACTTTTTCCAGGTCGGAGTGTAAGAGCATTGGTTCATTAGTGGTTCCACCTTTGTGGCAGTAGTTCCTTTTTGTTTCAATGCCCCCTTTTGCCGCACCGAGGTCCTGGCTTTCCAGTTCGGTTTAGAAGAACTTGACAAGCGTCCAACACATTTGGGATTACTTGGAATGCTGTGTGCGAGCCAGGCCTTATCTCCCAACATCAGCCCTCTCGTGGCTTAATGGGAAGCCAATCCCTGCAGTCAGGATCCAAAACCTTGAGTAAATCCTACCCCAGAAGAGCAGAGGAGAGATATGGCTTTGGAATGACATGCTCAGCTATCACATTTGGCTATAATGTGTAAGCGTTTTTTTTTCTGTTTTGGTTCCTCAGAAGTACGCTCACCGTAATTAGCATTTCCATCCAGCGTTATATACTGAATTTATGGTGTCTCTGCTACAGTGTGGTTTGTTTGGCATGCCATAGGCCATATTAAACTTTTAACTTGTGCTTCCCAAAGTGTGGTTCAGGGACCACCAGGAGTCTTTAGCAGCGTTTTCATCATAAATCTCTCCGCTTTCTCAACTCGCCACAAACAGTTTAGACGGTTGCATAATTCTGCACCAAGCCAGATCACTTCGGGAAGCTGCCTGATGAGTACAAACAGCGCTTCATGCACATTTAACGCAGAGTATTCTCCCCGTTTTTCTCCATCATGCACACAAACAAACGGCAATAATTTATCAGTAATACTAGATGACGGAGTACGTCCAGCAAGAACTGAAATGAAGAGTTTCCACACATAATGGAACAAGCCCTCTACGGCTGAGAATGAAAAGATAAGCCAGACTGCTCCTCAGCAAGTCAAGTCAGCTGTCAGCTATTTTGAAGATGAAAACATTTCCAACACATCTGTTTCACGGCAGCGAAAACAGAGCACTTACAAGTGATTGTTTAACTGTCTCCCAAGAATACCGCAAAGGAGAGAGTTTTCTGTCACACTGTAAAGTACGCATTAAACACAATAGGCAGCTTTAGACAAATCATGAAACAGGAGGCCATTTACTCAGCAGGTATTATGTGAAATTGCTGACACTTTTCAAAAACAGGAGCTCATCCTAAAAAAAAAAAAAGACTTTGATGCTTGCCGAGCTACTTTGAACTGCGGTATAATGAGTATTTTTAGACATATTTATTCCAGGAATATACACCAATCATATGCAGATGATAAAAAAGCAGCATATGCACCTGGCGCTTACTTGCTCCACATACCTGACGTGGATTTCAGAAACTAAGAAAAGCAATCGAGGAGCCTTCTGAACTTTCAGGAGTGATTCATCCAGGCAGGTATTCATCAAGGTGAAAGGTGCTCAGCAAACTGCAGTTTGCTTGATGTTTGATGTGTGACCTGTGAGCATCTTTCTATCCAAAACATTTAATCATATATCTGAAAACCTGCTTAGATATATACCAGGCAGTGACATGAAGGATGGCCCTTAAAGCGGGCCTTCTTCACC